ATTGCAAAGATGACTTTTATAGGGCTCCTGTTGAATCATTGTGTATTCCACCTCCAAAGCTGAAAATGATGAGTTTAATATCACACAGAGCAGTGCATCTTGTATCTCTCAAAAGACAGCTTATGCTACCCAGAGAACTGGGAGCTCAGCAAGACATAATTTTTCACTCCAACTCTGAGGCAAATGAAATGACAGTCAGCGAACCCACATTCTAGAAGCAACATGGTTTTCATTTGGTTGTAACTTCATTTGAAAGTGTCCCAAGGAGGGAGAATCCCTCTAAATGTGGACTTTCCTTTTTTCCCAAGACTAGAAAGGAGATAGAGAGGTGGCCTTCAGAAAAGGTTTTCCCCGACACCCAGGAAAGGCTAACCAATAATACTATATCAAGCTAGAAAGTGCCTTAAATATGTGCCAGATCCCACATGGCTGGGTTCAAGTCCTGAACCCAGCAGCTTGAGAAACACGCTGGGCACATGTGCATGCATACCCAAAGGACAATGGAAAGCACACCTGAAGGTGATCAGAAGGGCCAGATTCTAATTTTTGCTTCTTCACTAGCTTGCTGGATAGCCTTGAGGAAGCAACCTCTCCACTCAGGGCTGATTCAAGAAAGGTCAGAGGAACTGGTTTCCAAGGCCCTCTCTAGCTCTGACATCCAGAGATAAAAAGTGCAGGTTTTCCTTACACATTTCTTAAGGCATCTCTCTACCTCCCCCCCCCCTTTCCTTTGCAGCTCATCAAAAGCTCAGAGGAAAAGACAGACAATTGGAGAAAATAAAATTGCAAAGATGACTTTTATAGGGCTCCTGTTGAATCATTGTGTATTCCACCTCCAAAGCTGAAAATGATGAGTTTAATATCACACAGAGCAGTGCATCTTGTATCTCTCAAAAGACAGCTTATGCTACCCAGAGAACTGGGAGCTCAGCAAGACATAATTTTTCACTCCAACTCTGAGGCAAATGAAATGACAGTCAGCGAACCCACATTCTAGAAGCAACATGGTTTTCATTTGGTTGTAACTTCATTTGAAAGTGTCCCAAGGAGGGAGAATCCCTCTAAATGTGGACTTTCCTTTTTTCCCAAGACTAGAAAGGAGATAGAGAGGTGGCCTTCAGAAAAGGTTTTCCCCGACACCCAGGAAAGGCTAACCAATAATACTATATCAAGCTAGAAAGTGCCTTAAATATGTGCCAGATCCCACATGGCTGGGTTCAAGTCCTGAACCCAGCAGCTTGAGAAACACGCTGGGCACATGTGCATGCATACCCAAAATCTCAAAAGGAGAGAGAGATGGAGAAGAGATTATATGTGAGCATTCCCCAATGGGGGGGATGATCTTCTCTCCTTCTCTTTCTGTCTCTATGTCTGTGGCAAATGTACACACCTTCCAGCAACAACAACAAAAGATTACAAAGGCATTTTTCTTTCTGTGCCCTACTTATTGGATAGTTCATGTGATAATGTAAAAAGAGAACTAACTACACTGAAAGAACTAAGGTTCTTTGCGTATGGGTCTCAAAATGGCACCAGGCAAGCATTGCAGTAAATGATAGTAATTACTCAGTATTACTGCTGTGCTTGCTTCGTATTATAAATCTCTGAGGTTGGAATAGAGATACCCATTTTTTTTTTTTGAGAGGTTTTTTTTTTTTTTGCTATAGAGCACGTGAGCTCGCCAGACAGACAGAGACAGAGAGACAGAAAGCGAGAAATCACCCCCCAGGGGGGATGGCCATGCCACAATCCCTTCTCCTCCGTTCTCCTCTTGGGATCTTGGGCACGCACGCACATGTGCCTGAAGTGAGTTTTAAGCCACCAGGTCCGGGACGTGAACCGCAGTCGACTACATGGGAGTCCAGCCACATAGCCATTACGCTAACTGCTGGTCCCGAGATACCCATTTTTATCATATAAGAAAACTGAGGCTCAGGAGGACTAGCAGTTAGCATAATGGCTATGTCGCTGGACTCCCATGTAGTTGACCACAGTTCGAGTCCTGGACCCGGTGGCTTAAACTCACACCGGGCGCGTATGCATGTGGGTCCAGGATCCTGAAAGGAGAATGGAGGAGAAGATATTGCAGCATGGCCGTACCCCCATGGGAAGATTTCTCACTTTCTGTCTCTCTCTGTCTCTCTCTATCTCTCTGGCGAGAGCACGCACCCTATAGCAAGAAAAAAAAGAAAAGAAAAGAAAACTGAGGCTCAAAGTGGGGATATAATTTATAACAGCCCCCCACGTCCCCCATCTAGAAATAGTTGCATTGGGCAAACTGTAAGCATGCCTGAAAGTAAATACAGTTTTGTTTCCTGGGGAGGATTTCTTATTAATCAGAGAAATAAATTCTACTAACATCTAGCTATGCGTGTGTAACTGTTCTGTTAACATCATGACTTAATCCAGCAAAAATCTCACTTCTAGGGAGACTTCTAAAAAGAGATACAGTAATTTCATGATTAAAAGGGATGCTAATGACAAGGCATGCAGACCCTGAAAGCAGATGGTGTTAAAAGAGAGGAGAAATAGGAGATGATGTGGAGGATAAGGTGTTGGATTTCCCCATGGCTGGCCACAGTTTGAGTGTCGGTCTTGGAGACTTGAAAATCACGCCGGGCATATATGTGTGCCTGCCCAAAATCCCAAGAGGAGAATGGGGGCGAAAGAATTGTGGGAGTGACAGACAGAAAAAGACAAAAAGACAGTACTCGGAACAGGTCTCAATGCCACAATACACTCCCAGCTTCAGCCAGCCCTGGATCATGGGCATGTACATATCTAGAGTATTCAGGGAGGTGTCCAGGTGCAAATAGAAACATTCCCATGTGGGTCAGTCTTGCAGAGACAATGTCACATTTTATCACTGAGCCAATCACCCCTGGGCAGTGATTTCTCACTTTCCCTCTCTCTGAATCTCTTTGTCTCTCTCTGGTGAGTACTTGTGCCCTACGGCATAAACTTAAGTAAAAGAAATAAATAGTGAGGAGAAATGGAACCTCAGGTTTCTCAACTTCTCCAATCACATTTCAAATAGCTACTAAATCTACTGACACCAAAGAAATCAATGACTTTTACAAGGAAAACTGTGAAAATCTTTAAAAAGAAATTGAAAATGGCACAAAAAAAAGTGGAAGGACATCCCATGTTCCAGGATTGGGAGAACTAATATAATCAGAATGGCAATTCTACCAAAATTAATCTACATATTTAATGCAACCCCTATAAAATTACAAGAGACATTCTTCACAGTTCTAGAGAAGACAATCATAGAATTTGTCGACAATCATAGAATTTGTCTGGAATCATAAAAGACCCCATATTGCCAAAGCAACCCTACTCAAGAAGAGTAAAGTAGGCAGTGTCTCACTCCCTGAACCCAAAATTTATTAGAAATCTGTGATAATCAAAACAGTATGGTATTGGCACAAAAACAAACAGGTGGACCATGGAATAGAATAGAGATCCCAGAAAAAAAAAACAAAACAAAACAAAAAAAAACCCATACAGCCAACTGATCTTTGACAAAGGACACCAGTCACTCCAGTGGAAAAAGGAAAACTTCATTATTAAATGATGCTGGAAAAACTGAGAATCCACCTGCAGAAAGGTGAATCTGAACTCCTATCTCTCACAATTAAAAATGAACTCAAAGTGGATCAAAAATCTAAACCTAAGACCACAAAGTATAAAAGTACTTGTGGAAAACACTGGGGAAATTCGGAGACACTGGCGTAGGCAAAGACTTCTTAAGTAAGACTCCCAAAGCACAGGCCAGAATTCCAAAATAAACAAGTGGATTACATTAGGTTAAGAAGTTTCTGCACAGTAAAGGACACAGTAATTAGTGTGAATTGACAACTCTTGGAGTGGGAGAATATTTTTGTAAACTATACCCCAGATAAGGAACTGATAATCATAGTGCACAGGGAACTCAAGCAGCTTACCTGGAAAAAAGAAAATGATTAACCCAATTAAAAGATTGGGAAAATGAGTTGAATAAACAACTCTCTAAGGAGGACATACAAATAGCTGAAAAGCATATGAAAAATGCTCAACATCTCTCATCATACGGGAGATGCAGCTCAAAACCACAATGAGATATTACCTAACCCCAGTCAGAATGGTGATGATTTAATAAAAAAAAAAAAAAAGTGTTGATGGGAAGGTAAATTGGGTCAGTCACTGTGGAGAACAATGTAGAGGTTCCTCAAAGACTTTCAAATAGAATGACCATATGACCCAGCAATTCCACTCCTGGGAATCTGCCCAAAGGACAGGAGAATGCTCAGTTGGAAAAGCGCTTGCACATCTATATTTATTGAGGCATTATTTACGATTCCTAGGACATGGAACCAACCCAAATGTCCACAAACAGATGAATGGATTGAAAAACACATACTCCATGGAATACTATTCAGTCATGTAAGAAACAAGACCCTGGCATTTGATAGAAAGTGGACAAATATGGAAGATTTATTGCTGAGTGAAGTAAGTCAGGCTATGAAAGAGACATTGTATGTCTCCACTTAACATATACCAAATGTCCACACTCTGGTAGAGATTGAAAGATTGGAGGACATAAAAATATTGAAAATCATTATGACCACTGGAGACAGTGTGGAAGGAGGGTGGGAGAGGGGGAAAGTGTAGGTAAAGAACTTAGGGAAAAGAAAATAGAGAGGTAAGACATTTTGGGGGCACAGAAATGTTTTATTATGTGTTGATGATGACGTGTATAATATTCTCCAGTGAACTGGTCTGAGATGTATTTCATGTTGTGCAAATTCTCTGTACAAGCTAAATGATGTATGGCAATTGAATGTATTAATAATAATAATAATAGAAGGGAAAAAAGAATAAACAAAAATAATCAAAACAGAAGTGTGTGTCTGTGCGTCTGTGTGTGTGTGTCTGTGCATCTGTGTGTGTAGTGTCTGGTCTCTTTAAGGCAAGCCTCTGTGACCAAGCTTTTCATTTAGTATCCTTTCTCTCAACAGAAAACAAGCCTAGAGTTTTATATTGACATCCATGCCCACTCTACCATGATGAATGGCTTCATGTACGGCAACATCTTTGAGGATGAGGAACGGTTCCAGAGGCAGGCCATTTTTCCCAAGCTCCTCTGCCAGAATGCTGAGGACTTCTCCTATGTAAGTCAGGAGGAGCCAGCTCCAGCCTCCCTTTGATACCCTCACCCCTCTTTCTCTCACTCCCTCCCTCTCTTTATTATTGCTTCAGTTTGATTTAACCTTTATGGGGGATACTTACTCTGGGCCAGGTCTCACATGGGCAGGAAAACAAACTATGTCCATGTCCTCATCAAGTCATCACCAGTCAGGGAAGGGGACACTTTGAAAAGGTAGCGTTTGGGCTGTCTGATGTGTTGCCTTTTAGATAGTGGATCTGACTAGGAATTGATGAGAGAAAGAAACTAAGTACCTGCCACATGCTATACACCGACGCAAGGTCTGTCTTCACTCACTCCATTTCTTTTTCTGTTTTTAATTGCCAGAGGGTGCGTGCACTTGCCAGAGAGAGATACAGAGACAAGGTAAAAGTACCCCTCTCACCCATGTATGCATACATGCCCAGCATGTATCTCATGCTGCCAAGACAAGAATTCAAATTGCAGTGGGCCATGTGGGGTTCAACCTCCTTAACCACTGCACCATGGAGCTGGGCCCCACCCCAGTTCTTTACTCTAAGCACATGTCTGCAGAAGGAGGTCATATGCCCTCATTATCTTCTTCCATGACTCTTTATGTGTATTTATTTTATGGTCTCCCTTTCACCATCCTCCTGCCTCAGCCACTCCACCGGGTCTATAGTCATGCACCGCCACATCTGGCTCTTTTCTTTTTTCAGATAGCGTCTCATTATGCTTTCCAGGTTGGCTTTGAGCTCATGCTCCTCGTTCTTCAGCCTCTCTGAGTAACTGGCATCATAGGTATATGCCACCATGTCCACCCTTTAGGTTAGACCAAGGATCAAACCCAGGCCTCCCATATAATTCCACCCTACAAATCACAGCATCTTTCCAGTCAAGCTGGGCCCCTCCATGACTCGTTTTAACCATGGTTCTTTGTTAGTAATTGGTGGGTGATCATTTTTTACCCTGCCTGCATTCTAGCTTCCTGGAGGACAAATGCAGTTATAGCTATGAAAGTATTTTGCAGGCAGTAAAGCACTCCACAAGGTCCAGAGACTGTTGTTACTACCCACCTCATCGTGCTGGGGAGGAGTAGGGAGAGACAAGGGGTGGGAGTTAGACAAAGTTGTAGGAAAAAGCAATATTGGGAAAAGGCAGGGAGAGAAGAGGGGGAAACTGATATATGGTATGGGGACATGGGAGCAAACTTCTGCACATTTTCCTTTGTTTGGTTACTAAATCTGTGGGGCCTGTTATTTCCATGTGGCCAGAAGGGGAGAAGCCCACAAAGGTCATAGCAATTTTTGAAGTTGATGAGCTGAAAACTCACCTGCCCATTGCTTCAGGCCTGGACATTAGCAGAAATGATAAATTTCTATGTGTGGTAAGATGCATTTTGAATTCCAGAATCTTTGTCAGACCAGGAAAGGAACTGGGAGATTATTTAGCCCAGTCCACTCTTGACACCCAGAAGACAACTAAGGTCCAGAAAAGTTGATGATCTAGTTCAAGGTCACCCAGCATTTGGTGGCAGAATCAAAGCAGATGGCTCCCCATTTGCAGCTGTGGGACAAAATCAGCCACACTTGTTTCCATAGGAATCTCTACAGGATGGCCAGCATCTTTCTTTGAAACCACTGCCATTTCAGGACAGACTGTGGCCTCCTGGGTCCAGGTTCTTTGGAAAGCTTGATCTTAGCTTTCAGAGCCCTTCACAGGGTGAGGCTTCTAGGGTCACAAATTGGAAACCTTATTTCTGGGCTTATTTGATGAAATTCCTGCATTACAGCCAACTTTGAACTCAAGGCTGGAGTTGAGGTCATTTACCCCAGGCCACTCACTGTCTCTCCTTTTCTCCGATCCTCAGTGTCTAACTTTTTTTTGGAGAGGTTTTTGCTATAGGGCGCATGCACTAGCCAGAAAGACAGAAAGAGACAGAGAGACAGAAAGTGAGAAATCACCCCCCAGGGGGATGGCACACTACAATCCCTTTTCCTCCTTTCTCCTCTTGGGATCTTGGACACGCACGCACATGCGTCCGGTGTGAGTTTAAGCCACCAGGTCAGGGACTCGAACTGCAGTCAACTACATGGGAGTCCAGCGACATAGCCATTGCACTAACTGCTGGTCCCAGTGCCTAACTCTGCGATAGGAGAGTTGAATTCACAGGTAAGATCTAACATTATGTGGTTTTTCTGATCTTTTCCTTTATCTCAAAATACACACATACATTTCTCTGTTTCTTTCACTCTTTCTCTAAAGCTCTAATTTTTCCTGTCTTCTTTCTCTCTCTTTTCCTTTTTCTCTTATCTCCTACTGAATAAGACACATTCATTTATTAAAAACATAGTCTGGGGAATAGCAAATGGCATGGTGGTTAAGGCACTGGACTCCCACATGGCTGACCATGGTTTGAGTCCCAGACTAGGTGGCTTGAAAATCACACCCGGCACACATATTTGTGTTTGCCCAGAATCCCAATAGGAGAGTGGAGGAAAAGAGATTGCAGTATGGGCATCCCCCTGGTGCATGGGGGGTGGGGGTGATTTCTCACTTTCCCTTGCTCTGTCTGTCTCCAGAGAGTGCACATGCCCTGTGGCAAAACAAACAAACAAACAAACAAACAAAACAGTCTGTTCATTTACTTAGGCTTCCATGAGTTAGCATAGAATGCTCTTATAACTGCAAGTAACTGACCTCACAACTCTGTGAGAAGTATTATTATTATCTGTGCTTTACGGATGAGGAAACCAAGTCTAAGACAAATAAGGCAACCTGCCTAGTGCCACGCAATCTGTAGGTGAGACAGCACGACTGTGTTTTTGGACAGAGGACTCGAGACCTTGACTATTCACTCTTTTCTCTCTGTCCACCTGGATGGATGCTGCCTGCACCCCAATCAAGCAGCAGCCATGGTTCCTATCCTCTGGTGATGTCAGATATGAGCTCTGTGTTCCTAATTGGGGGTCGGGGTTGAGGTATCTGGAGTCACTTAGACCTGGTTCAAATCTCTGCTGTATCATTTACTTGTTCCACCTCTATGACCCTCAGTTTCCTAATCTATGGAGAGGTTAAAATGTTAACACTTCCTTTAATGGAAGTGATATTTTGAAAACTAAATAAGATACTACATGGGGAATAATATTATAGAGTTTAAAACACTGCCAGAATTTGACTTACTGTCATCATATTGTTCCCTGCCTACTTTTCCCCATTCCATCTGTCCCTATTCATGTATTTGCTGAGTGGCAGTTTCTGCCCCAAGAATTTTGCTGGGTACTTTCATTTGATTATGTCTGTTTACCTCATCAGTCTTCATAATGATCCTGTGATGTGGGATTAACATCCTTCTTCTCAGGTGAGGAAGCTGAGACCAGGAGGTACTGTGAGATTTGCTCAAGATCTGGTAGCCAGCAGGTGCCAAGCCTTGATTCTCTCTTCGCAACTTTGCCTTCTACAGTCCAGCACGTCCTTTAACCGGGATGCTGTGAAAGCGGGAACTGGACGTCGCTTCCTTGGAGGACTCCTGGACCACACTTCCTACTGCTATACCTTAGAAGTCTCCTTCTACAGCTACATCATCGGAGGCACCACAGCTGCTGTGCCCTACACTGAAGAAGCCTGTATCCTTGGCAGGTCCCCATCCAGCCCTGGGCCAGGAGAAGACCCAAGTCTGGTAGGATTCACTAGGCAGAGCAGAAATTAGGTTCCCAGTTCAGGTAAGGGTGGAGACTGCTATAAGAATGGAAGAGGCTCAGGATCAGCAGATGGCATAGCAGTTACATGGCCCACTGTGCTTTATGAGTGCCTGAGATCCTGGAAGGAGAAGGAATTGTGGTGTGGCCATCCCCCCTGGGGGTTAATTTCACAC